AGAAACTCTGAGAACGAACCAACGAAGAACTGGCTGCACAACAAATATGTGGGAAAAATGGATATAGTTGAGCACACGGTGAGGGAACTGTCGAGTGACATCGCCCCCAATACAGGCCCTCAGTCTAATGGGAGCCCAATGGGAAACGACGAGTTGTGAGTTGACGCCAGGTTTATATTGAAAATATCGTGGGGGAGGAGATGATAGACTACGAATAGTCATCGGGTCAGTTAAAGAGGACTGCAGAGAATCGGACAAAGTGGGGATGTGTTGTTGAAGCCCTACCTTCCACTTGGGACTCAAAGGAACGATAAAATTAAACAAATAAATAACAAGCGACACGATATCCATGACTAAAATCGGACATTCTAGTTTCTCATACCTAAAAACGTCTCTTTAAAAGTGAAATATTTTGGGGAAATTTAACTACTATTCGGAGAGTTATATTGTTTTCAAACGCTTATGTATACTAAAATCATTTGCCTTTATACAGCTATGTAGAACTAGGTGAAAATGCGCCCATTAGAAACAAAAGAAACATTTTAAAATTCTGACAAGCGAACTCTCCGGCAGCCTTCCAGTGACCTTCTCTTGCAAGAAACTATTCAGCCAGCAATAGAAAGACAAGTTGTCCCATTGGGCCACTTTAACAGGCACATACCAGCTGACTTGCCCAAGTGGAGCTGAGTACACTGGCTGCAACACGTATCCACTTGTAAAATGCGCTCCCAACACTATTCAGCCTGGCTGGATAGCAAAGGCAGAGTGCAAGTGTGCATATAGTTCGGTAACAGGACATCTGGTGAATTCTGGACATTCACCTCCATTCGATGAAAATTCCTTCAAAGTCATATGGATAAGATGCTATCAAACTCCTCAAAGGGAGTCAAATTAATCAACCTGGAAATAGCTGAGGCTCTGGAGATCCAAAATTTCAACTCTAAGTCATGTATTTAATTGAAATACGTCTAATAGTTGTCCCTACTATGGCCATCATAGAAAGTCAGTCCTATCAATAATGATCGTCGCATTAACTTTCTTATCCGAACCTCCTGCCTATATTGTTATTACTACGTTATTTAATCCCTAATTGCTCAAAAAGTCAATACTTCCAGTAGTTATTATTCTGCTTCATTGTTTCTGTTCTATCCTCTTGTTTATTACACTTCGTATTTTATAAATATGCCCTTGACCGGGAATAGTTCTGGAACTTTTCCTCCCACTTGTTTTAAATACACAAATGTCCACCATAGATGATGACCTTATCGAAAAGAAAATTTTCGTCACCACTGCCAACTATCTTCTCAATAATTCCCATGATTCAGTCTGTATATTCTGTGATCACCATGTATAATAACAGTAATATCATTGTGGACAATAATATTAATGAGCTGATATCGGTTAGAAAACCATTGGAAGACCAGCACTCGAGTTCTGGGTAGCTGTTTCGTCCTAGTTTGGGACTCTTGAATACCAATGAAGAGCTCATGACGAAGTCGTTCAACAAACAGAACAAAATTCCCTACAAAACCGATACTCGAGTAAATTTAGTCAATATAATCATTTTTCGCACGTTTGCCCTGGGAAATGATGTTCTCATTATTAGTCAAGCTCTAATCAACTGGTATTCTATTCGTAATATTTAACTGCGTCAATTAAGAACATAGTACTCGTAAAGAGCGGTAGTTTATGCTTCAAAACAAAGATAAAATACACAGCCTTGCAACCGACAACAAACACCTGGCTTACGTTTTTATTAGGCGTCAGAAAAGACCTTCAGCAGCGTTAACCATAAAGCAATTAAACAACTATTTAGCTACTGTGGAGTGTCGAAACCCACACACTTATAAACCTTGTACAGAAACTATTCGATGAATACACCCACTAGCTTATTCAAATTAGGGAAAACTCACTTAAGGTGTTTGTAGGTCAAGTCAAGAGTTAGACAAGCCTGTCGCCTATCGCCAAATCATCTCAGTACTTGTAGTGAACTGGATCATGTGATAGGCTGTGGGGAATGATGAAAAGATAAGCATACGTTCTATCGAAATGGTGACGGATACACTACTGCAGTTGTTCATTCCACTCGGAACCTAGGCGAATAATAATAAGCGAAACTAACAGCGGTGATAAATACAAAAGGAATAGTATACAAACACTATTCAAGAAGGCCAGGACTCATTGCAGCACTCACACCTTAAGGAAAATTGAAGAAAGATATCTCATGGCCGTCTTCCAAAAGAATGCATATCCATGAAGATCTTCACCAAAGGACATCTACCTTCAAGCCTCTCATCTATCACATCAAAGGCCTCCAAGGAAAGAACAAAGTAAATCGCCCTACCATATATAATGGACAACTCAGAAATCACTGCAAGACTCTTCAAACCTTTAGCAATTGACGTCGTACAAAAACCAATAAAATCAATTCATGGAGGATTTAATCATGAGCTGACATCAGTTAGAGAACCATTGGAAAACCTGGGAGTACTGGACAGCTGTTTCGTCCTAGTTTGGGACTTTTCATCAGTACGCACCCACCGGGATTCGAACCCAGGACCTTCTGGTTACAAGGCGAGCTCGTAGACCATTGAGCCACTGGGACCCGATGTAATGGTCCTTGAATTCTAACTTCTGCCAGTTCACGACGTAGCGCGACCAATTCGCAATGTCTTCTTCGATGAGTTACTGCCTCATCTTTAACCTGCTGTACCCTACTGACTAGCTGATGTCTAACTGATGTCAGCTCATGGTTAAATCCTCCAGGCAATCAAACAAAATCCCTACAAAACCAATACTTGAAAATAAATTCACTCAACTGGCTTTATATCAACCCAAAGAAGACAGACTCAACAATGAAAAAAGATAAAACCAACATCATCTACAAAATAAATTGCAGCAACTGCGAAAAACACTACATTGTCCACAAACATAAACTAGTCGTCAAAAGACACGACATCCACTCCCTCATATCGCCTCACTGCATACAGACAACCACGAACATCAGTTAGACTTGGACAAGGTTGAATTATTAGATAGAGGAAACAACAAGAATGCTAGAGAATTTTTAGAAGCCTGCCTGGTATTCCAGTGAATTGTCAATCAACAGACACATTGACATAAACAAAATTTACCAATCGATAAGAAGGAAATCTCACACACAAAGGGTCAAACTTCACGTCGAGAAAACAGTCACCACCAATACCAATACAAGTAGCCTAAAGAGTGTGAAAACACACAAAACCAACCAACCAGGTTCAGGGTCAACAAGAGAGATGACTAATAAACTCATGGATAAATCTAAAAGACCACTTCAACAGAATGAAGATGTTGTCTAGTGTTGGTGCAATGAAAGCTTCGCAAATTAACTATCCAACTCGGAGAACACAATCAGATAAAAAAATATCCTCACGTGTTGAAAAAGCGAAAGCCATTTTCGATTCTCTGAAGGCTACTAAGTACAGTAAATTCCATGAATCATTTCTTTTACTTATTACGGAATAAAAATACGACTTGTAATCGAGGAACTGCATTTCGACAGAACGCCAGTTGTAACAATAAGGAATTGATTTGATAAATTATTCATGACCATTCAGTTATTAAAAGAAATAAAGAAAAGTTAAAGTTAAGATTTTTAGATGATACTTTTGTAGTGCTAAAACGAGATCTACACAGTTCATTCTTGGAGAAAATAAACCATCTATCTCTCAGAGCATCCAGTTTACTTCGGAGGTAGAATCAGGCGTCGGTGACCTACCATTTCTAGATTGCCTGTCCGGTCAATAGGAGGGAAATGTGCATTTTAGTATATCCATATTCAGGAAGAAAACCCACTCCAATAAATATTTAGACTTCAAATCATCACACCCTATCACCGCAAAGGTATCTGTTGTTTCAAGCCTTCTTAGACGAGCACACTCTCTGATGCTAACAGATGAGAAAGAAAAGAAGAAGAAATATCAAACATTGCTGAAACTCTCAAGAAAAATAGCTATCCAAAGAACTTCGTCAACAAAATCAGCAAAAGAGTTAAAAATATAGTCGAAAACATGTTTTGAATAAAAGGACCTCGAAAGTTGTCATCCCATATAGACCACCGCATACTTCAGATGACATCGGAAGAGTACTCAATAAGCATACCAGAGTTTTTTCAAAAGATCAGAAATAAACACTACAAAGTAACCTTGTCCATATAGAAGACCGAGTCTCTAAGGATTCTCAATCTAATTGTGTCTACAACAAAAAAATGCTTAAAATCTGATGTGATATACGTCGGATAAACATCGCCACAGATAGAAATCAAAGTAATCAGAAAAAATGAACACCGTATGACATCTGTTTGATCCCCAAGAAATCCAGGTGAACTAAAAAAGCTTGAAAAATCATCAGCCATAGCTGGTCTACACACTGTAGAATCAGGTCACAAAACTGAGTTTTACTATACTGAAATCATCCAGAAAAACTCCAGATATTACAAAGAACGTCTCATATAATCAGAAGAGCTTCATATCAAGTGTAATGTTAATTGTCGGAGTAGGAATGTTGGAGTAAAACAGAATTTGACCTGTTTACAACACCCCACCCACCTCCTCCTATGAAATGACAAGATCAACACGAATGTGATAAGCGATTTCATTATGTAAACAGACGCTGCTTTTATAATCTCATACACTTATCGAACCCAACAATCTACACCTGGTCATCTTTACCAAGCGGCTAATTTGACAACGTTAAAATAACTCCATGCTTAGAAAAGATGATTTAGTTGTTATATATAAGCTGAGTGGGTTTCGTTAATTCTAGTTAAATAATACTACTCTGATAAAGCTGTTCACATCAAATAGCGAAACGTCATTCACTAGGAAATATAGAAAACCTTCATTATAATGAATATCAAATCCCCAATGCCCAAATTTTTTTCAAATTGTTAAAATTGACCTTGTTTTCGAAATATATAACATAGAAAAGTCATTTTTCAAAAGAATATGTAATCGATCACACTAATAAAAATATTTGAAAACTTTACTACAAGTGAAAAATACTACAATTACTTTGATGACCTGTATCCACACATTTTGATCATTCCGAATTGAAGAATTTCTAGGTCGATATCTGGTGATTGATTTAGCAATATTTGTGAATTCTTGTAGCACTGGTCCTTGATATCCTGTGCTCCCGTCTGCACCCATAAGTTCTGTTAACTGGGATGTACTCAGCAAAGGTTGATTGTCTTGATTTTGTGCAGCTATTCTACTCAAAGCCTCCTCTATACTCATTTGAAATTGTCTTCTAACCAAAGTGTGTTCATCGTCATCAGTTACTGTCACAATGTCAAATGTGGCTTGACAACATTTCATTGAATATGTGATGAAGGAGGATAGGAAGATGTTCAGGAGGAATACTCTTGAAAACACGATATCTGGTAGTTTCATATTTGTGTTTATCAGTATGATTCAGTTTATTCAATGTTCAATGGATAGATGATATTTATTCAATTTGTCTTTTGACATACTGTGTATAAAAACAGAATGAGTACAGCGGCTGAGACAAGTTAACTTTAGATATTGCAGAGAAAAGAGTTTGGCCGTGTGTGTGTGTATGTGAGTGTGGCTGTGTGTTAACTTTCAGTTGGTTGGTGGTATTTGATATTCTACAAAATGGACAGAGTGTTGTGATCATCATTCATCGTTGACCTTTTGTTATAAATGAAAACAAAATTAGTGAGTGAATATTCTCAACAATTAGTAATTGAGCAGTGGTCTTAAGAAATAAATTGTCTTAGAGAGTATTTGTATTTTATTTTAGTGAGTGGTGACTAACTGTGGAGCATTCTGTCTGAGAATTGACAGTTAGATTCCCTTCGAGACTCGAGCCCCTGTGCTCGTCGGTACTGACTCACTAGGAAGGTGTGAGCGCATCTTGACGACGAGGGTTAAATGAGGCAATCTGTATACTGGATTCCATCACCGTGTAGTTCACACCGAAAATCGAAAACATTTATTTCCCGATACGGATTTAAAACAAGCAATAAAGGTTAATAAAGCAGGATTTAATGATGAATTCATCAAATTTCGGTAGAACTCGTCAACTGAATATTTTACATACATGGATACATATACTTTTGAGATTACATTGGGAGATATAAGACTGATAAGCAAGTAAATAAACTACATTGAATAAGTCATACAGAAAGAAGACAGGTGCGAATGTCCAGATCAGGTCATGTTCAAATAGATAAGGGGAGAGAGAGTATGAGAGATCAGAGTCAAGATAAATTGCATTAAGTTTCAATTACATCACTTAGATAAACAATTAGTCATTAGAGAATATAACAAGAATTGCAAACAGAGAAATATCAGTAGTAATAGTTATAACGATAATAGTAATAATAACAATGTTGAAGTGAGTTAAGATAAGGCTACTGATAAACGATAGTTTTAAAAGAGTCAAGGATAATAATAATAGTAGGTAGAACAATAAGTAAAACGTATTACCATGGTAGATTCAGAGTGACGACCATCTCCTTTTGTACACACAGAGACCTGGTTTATAAACTCGAATTGCACAAGCCTCTGCAATTGCAAGCATCTTCTTGTTTCTTTGTCTGCTGACAAAAGTGGATGACTTAACAGCGTCAATATCATGTCCGTAGTCCACAAGATGTTTTTTTACTAAGGATTTTGGCAATTTGCACTAAGCTGTTTTCAACCATTTTGGCAAATGCTCCATCATGCGAGTAGACAATTGCCTCTCTGTACGACCCATGTATATGCTTCCACAAACACACTCAAATTGATATAAGCAGTTTGAAATGTCGAGGATTGGTCACTGGTCTTTCCCAGATTGTTGAAGCACTCGCTTAGTGGTGTTAAGGATAACAAGTTCTCTTGATGGCTTTGTCGAGTCTTTGTTTCACTAGTTCCTGAACATCACCTCCTTTGAATGGCAAACTGATATAGACAGATTTCTTAGGAACTATTTGAATTGTTTTTCAGGGGGTAGTTTCTTTAGAATATTTATTAATGAACTTCTCAGGATATACATTCTTAGGTAGAACATCCTTCAGAGATTTTATTTCATGCTCAATATTACTGTAAGAATAAATTTTCCGGATGACGAGTTCTACAGAAATTTGATGAATTCATTGTATCCTGCTTTATTAAACTTTATTGCTTGTTTTAGACCGAAAATATTTGATACTGTGTTAATGATATATGTCCAGATCTTATCTTCAGCATCTTTACCTATTTGATGGTGGTGCATCGTTAGAATGCCCTCCAATCAAGCAAGTGGTCCAGGATTCGATTTCCAGCCGGCGCGCACCTTTACTACTCTTGCCCATTCATAAGTTCGACAAAGAGGGAAGGTTAGGCATGAGACTAGTAACCCTACACCGTAATAAACACCACTGCTACTGAAATTTCAGAGCAACAGCTTGAAGTCCGATGTTCCACTTGCTGCTCACAAGAATAAAATAATTGTCTTTACCTGTAATTTTCGTTTAACCCTACAAAGAATGATCAAATGTACAGGCTTAGTGTTTAGTTTATTTTGCTATTCCTTCACGTTCCCAGTGGGACATAGGGCTTCGAGATAAAGGCTTGAAGTTTCTGTAGCAGTTGTGCTTATTTTTACAGAATGGGGTTGCTAGCCAGCCTCAAGCCCAACATTCCCTCTTTACCAGTCTTAGTACTGGCTTAACGAGGTAAAGAAGTACATCTGCCAGGAATCGAACCCAAAACCACTCACTTGGTCGGCAAGCGTCCTAACCGCTGTGTCACCTACTCACGTGTTTAGTTTAGCTTCACAGTAAATACTTAATTAGCAGTAATAAGTGTGTTATGCAGATTCAACAAGTCGTTTCCAAAATTTCATCTGTGATAGGCAAAAGAAACTGTGTTCAAAGCATGAAAACTTCAGTAATATCATGCTCCGAACATTTTTATCTCCCCATCAAATGAAGTATACAGAAGTATAGAACGGTAGCAAAGAAGGATGCTACAAAAATACTTACCCAAGTTAAAGATTAGCCAGTCTATACGTTAACATTTGCTCACATAACTATGAAGTCACTAAAGTCACCGAAATGATAAAATATCAACAGAGAATCACAGTAGATGTATCACCCTGATGAAGGGGAGGAAAGGAGGGAAAGTCAAACTTCACTTCGAATATATGGAAGTTGAATACATTTCAACAATAATAAGTGAACTCGGTTACAGGATTTCATCATGAGCTGAAATAGGCTAGAGAACTATTGGAAAAACAGTACTCCGTTACTGCCAGACAGCTGTTTCGTCAGCCTAATTTTCATCTCTTCATCAACATGCACCCATCCCACTGCCAGGGTTCTAACCCATGGCCTTTCGGTTAGAATACGAGCTCAAAGACTATCTCTAACATCTAACATTAGCTCTTTTTTTATATAACCTAACAACAGTAGGCTCTCTAAATACTCGGGAAAAGCATAACTGCTTAATTACATCAAGAGAATTATTGAAGATGTTGTCTGTATGAATATCAAAACGTCAGGAGATAAAGAATCAAACTGGAATATAAGCCAGTCTACTAGAGGTATGAAGTATTCGCCATCATGAGAAGCTGATTTCAATGATTTCATTAAATTCCGTAAAAGGCAACATAGTTGATACTGGGTGGCTGGAGTCAGTCATCAGAAAGCCAAAATTGACCTAGGTTTCGTGCTAGTTGACACTCACCAGTCAGTCGTCAGGGTATACGTATGCGTGATTTTGAAAGGATTCATGTCTTTTCTGAGATTCAAACCCGAGTCCCCCAGCTTCATAGAATATTAACCATTGCAAACTTGACTGATAGAATTTAGTCTGCACCAAACAAAGGACTAGATACATTGCACTAGCTACTCACCAATGTTCAATCGAAGATTTGATGAAAATTATTCGCTAATAGATGTCTTACAGGAAACATTCCGAGTGGTAACAGTCTTTCTGGTGAAGTCTGTGAGTGGCCATCAGCCGTTTCCACTTAAAATTGTTAAACGAACTCCAATGGAGAATTCTTCTCAGACGTTTGCACCTTAAGTGTATTGCTGGTTGAAGACAGTATGTACAAGTACAAGGATACACACAAAGCGGCTTAGGTTTCATCAAACGAATGCATCACTGAGCAATAGTTAAACTTCACTTCAATTTCACTGGAGTGGAGATACAGTGGCTGTTGAACACAAAATCGAGAGGAGGAGGAGGAGGACCAAATATGAGCTAAGACCATTTTCTAGTGCAAGAAACCTCCAAGACTGAACTGAAGGCCCTCTAATAAGCTGAAGACAGACCACAACTCAAGTTCAACAATTAGAAACAGAGGGACAAAACACGAAGGAAAGCTTCTCTGAAGTTACCGCGAGGAAAGTTGACTGCATTAGGCAGAATCATTTAGAAGACATAAGTGAAAGAATAATGGAACTACTTGTATGCAACATAGAAGAAAACCAATGTGGTCATTCTAAGAAGGAAGAAAAAAGCATCATGAAAATATTTCTCTATGGACATCTAAAATCCGATTGAAGGAAAAGATATGGTAAAGCAGAAGTCGAACCAATACAGATATGAACAACCAAAGAAGGAACTGCAGTTGACTAAAAGTATATTAAACGAAAATGAATGAAGATGACTGCTAGGTTAAGACAAAAGACAACCCTTTGACAAACTGACTACTGAAATCGAACAGGCTTCAGATAAAGGGGAATCTTAGAACACCCTATCAGATAACCAGGCTGCCATCAGGGACGAGATAAACTCAGATGAAACCTATGAAGCATAATGAAGGAAACTTAATTATGGAACAGTAGAAGGAAAAGAAAATTATCGGCCGATCACTTCAAATGACGCCTGAACTGTGCACCAACTTCAACTCCTCCAGAAATACCATCAGTGGACACAGGACCACTAGCAGAATCAAACCTATGTAGAAAAACAGAAATATAGAAGTTCATAAAGTCATCGAAACTCAGATGTGAAAGCAATTAGGCCAGATAAATTCCCAAGGAATTATTCATAGCCGACTTAAATGTTTCAGAGAACATGCTGAAGTCACTAATGAAAATGATATAAAGCGAAGGAAGTAAAGGTACCAGCTTATGTCAAGAAAGGCCAACTTGTCAAACTATTGAATAAAAGCGATATAGGACTACATTTAAACTTGTGTCATTCAGGTTATCATCTAGAAAACAGAGGTGATGAAGATATTCGATGGCCAACAATAACTACTAACAATCTTCATCAAAGGGAGAAATCTAAATAAAGTTGTGTGCCCCAGTAACATGCCTATTCACTCTCACTTTAACTATTGAGGGTGACTTGGATGAGGATGAAAACGCAGTACAGAGAGAAATTCATCACTGTGAAATCTGAGTGAAGACTTACTGCACTCACTCAACACAAGAAACAAGACGTGAGTTCTTTTTAGCCCTACTGTCAATGGAGTGCTCCTATACATTTTAGAAGGCACTTTGTGCGTCTCCCATCTAAATACATTTCTCATGGACTACTGCAGATCTTCACTGAAGATCAGATTGTTATCCGACTGGTGAAAAACCGAAGAGCAGTAAGGAATTGCGATTGTCAGCTAACCAACAAACTAATGCCTAGCAAATGTTGAGGGATATCACGCAGATGCCTGGCAGGCTGTCGAACGAAACAGTTATAGGAGGCGACGAACTGTGCATTTATCAAAAGGTGATATGCAGGAGATCCTGTGGTAGGGGGATAATAGGAGCTTGTGGCTAGTTGTAGAGCCAGCTGGAAATTGCTGCAGAAAACAGAGTGAAATAGATGTCTGCTGAAAGAAACCTGCTGTTCCAGTAGAAACTCAAAGTACTATTAATAATGACAATTATATTAAGAACAAAATATTCACTGAAGAGACTCTTTTCAACGAATTTAACACTGACAGACAGGATAATAATAGTAGCATGGACTGCAAGGGATATAGTTTAATAAAAGCCATATACATGCATACTCTTGTATAGCCTGACAATAAATTCATTGAAAAGAGTCTTTCCGCTGAATAGTATGTTGTTAACGCAACAGTGGAAATTATTACGTTATCGAGGCAGTCACATTATCCATGTTCATTGCTAGGTAATAAATGATACAAGCATATTTATTTATATTATCGCATTAATTTCACTCTCAAGTAGTTTAGATATCAGGTGGTCTGAGGACACCATCAGAAATATGCAATTCACCTAAGTCTTACACGCATTTGTATGGCGTCAATTTATCTTCATATCGATAGATTCAAGTTCAACTCATCCAACACACTGTGGTTATGCACCTACCGTTGAGGTATTTTGGGGTACAGCTAACCTTCTGTAATCTTCCGCTGAACGCATTAATTTCTCACTAAACAACTGAATAATAATAATGATTTGCTTTATTACAAAAATAGTACTATTGATACACCGTGTGGTATTTTCAACATTTGGTACATTATTACAATTATAGCTTTATCTAATAACACTAAATCAATTTTAGGAATAATATTAATAACACGATTTTTAATGGCAGTTCTTATTTGGTATTTAAAGTGACAGTGAAGTCATATATATACATACAAAAAATAATTGTAAATAGTAATCATAATGTTACTAGCTAAGATTGTTAGTCAGCAGAAACAGTGTCGTCATAGATTACAAATAGGAAACAATAAAAGGGCAAACACTTTGTCTCTATTACATAGAACATGGGCTGGCCACATAGCGTATCCTTGAGTTCCTATACTGGGTTGTGCGAGCTGAAACATTTTGTACTGACTTCTAATTCTACTGAACGAGAGACATGGGGAGAGTTGGGAATAGAGGGGCTGGGTGTTGAGGGTCCGACAATACAGATTTAGACCGTTTATCGTATGAGTTCAGATGTCTGTCGACTAATGCTTTGACAAGCTGACTAAGTTGCACACCAATTATCCTACTAACAACCCTTAACAACTCTCTCAATATAACAGAGTCTTTTATTAGTAGCCCAGGAAAAACTGAGGGTAACATGCTGTAACAAACTGTAAAAGCAGGGATTGAATGATTCAAGATTGTTTCAGCTTGCCAATGTAGTAGCTTAGACAGAAAATCTTCCCGAAGATCGATAAAATATGAGATGACCAAGTAAAATGAAATGATATCATCATACCAAGATATTTTGTGTTAGACCTAGTTTCTATTACAGTCTCCTCTATGCTACAAGTATCGTAGCATCTAAATTAAGTCATTGGAGAGACAGTCAGACAATTACCCGTAGACCATTAGTTTAACTCCTGATGCAATGGATATCATACCACCCCTTAGTATATCGAAGTAATATTCCACGTCATCACAAATAATGTAAATAAATAATCATTGTGAAACAAATCCAATTGGTTGTGCACGCTTTCGACAAAATCTTGTGACTTTTATGGCACTTAGATATACTTATATAAAAACTGATTTGTTAGAACATGTTAATGTGATATAACCATATTTGCTTTCACTATGGACGTATTTCTCTGTACTGTTTTACTAGCTTTACTACAAGCCAATCTAGGAGTTCATTCATTGTCGGATACACAGAATGCTCAAACCGCGCAGCCAGCAGTTCCTACATTGACACTTCAATCAACATCAAGTTCTAGTCCACCTACAGATGGCGTGAAAGGAACTTCAACAGAAGGAGAAGAAAAACAAGGACACAAACCTAAATCAGTCACTATAGCAGTGCAAACACCTCCTGAATTTTATAAACCTCAACGTGTAAATGACATAACATTAGCATTTTATAAGACAGTAGTCAGAATTATGGAAAGATTATCACATGCCTTTCATAAAATATACAGAGATGTGGAGAAATTCAAGAGAAAATTCAAACCGAATAGAATCTGAGAATATGCTGCAGTGCAGTGAAGTGAAGTTTGTTTAACACGTTACTATGAGATGAAATCCAATGACTGAGTGTTTTGTAATCGTTTTTGTTTTTTGATTTTGCTCATCACTGTGAAACTAAGTATCTTTTAATTATCAAATATAGTTTATGTGGAGATTTATTAATACAGTGTTTTCTTTATCATTGTTATTATTATTGTCTCCTTTAGTTCTTAGAAGAACGTAGAGTTTCAGATGCACGTCTCAATTGCGTTCACTTCCTCACCAACGTGTTCACTTGACTCCATGTCTAAACACATGCTTTCATGTACTCTTCGTATGGCCCCCTAAGACATGTCACCCACCGACTGACAACCAACTCGTCGCTTCACATTCGGCTTTTACTAGAGACAGAGCCTGGTGTGTGATATCAATTGATGGTTTGTTTGCTCAGAGTATAACCTCTAACCGACCTTCATTTCTTTCTGAAATCGTAAAATTCTGGTAGTGTGTGAGATATCCTCGGTTAGCACATTTATTCAATAAACTACAGCTAAGCAGAGCAGAGTAGAGTAGAGTCGATCGTTTGGAATGAGAAATAGATAATGTTTGTTATGCGAAGTCATGAATATTCAGTTAATAACTTGTCAACTAGGTGAAGTGTTAATGAGACTTGTGCCTTTATTTCGATTATGAATCTTGTTACTCCGATTTTTGAAGTATATTTGGAAAGAGAGAGTTTTGGTTCACCATGATTAGCAGATCTCCTTGAAGTAATCACGGCTGTAATAAGAATAAGAATAACCACTTCATTCTAGAAAACGATCACATGTTATATTGCGAATAATTCACTCATTCTGACAACGAAATCCAAAAATCTAACTTATAAGTTGATGAAGTCTGTCAACTGATACACACAAAGAGTCATTTGATTCATACTGTTAGTACACTCAATTCATTTATCGTCCCAATCCACTTCGATATTTCCTCTTTCTATTTGAAAAGGACCACAAATACGATGGATTTGATTTCCGGTTTCAGGACACTTTTGGCAAAGAACAGAAAAAATGTACAATTCCAGTCAGTTTATATATTAGGAGAATAGATGTATCGGTGAGTAATTCCACAAAATTATCGAACTGTAGATTGCATCTGATTCAACTCTGGATTCGGATCTTCCTTGTTTAGTTCGTTTCGTTAAAGTAAAGGTGAACCATTTGACACGTTGTTGTGTTACGTTTGCTTGTTCGTGCAATCACTGTGTAGCTAGTGATGCCAACATCAGCGTGCTAAAACTCTTTTCCCAAGATATATTTCGTATTTCGGAAATTCAGTTTGTAGTACCGATGATTAGTCTTTAAAGGCTTACCTCGTCTAAGTAGGACAAGTACATTGAAAGTTGAAAATATAAACTTGCGTTTTTTATGGGAGTATTTTGTGTACCTGGAGACATCACTCAACTTCAAAAAAGGCATTTCGGTCACTCAGGGTTCAAAATGGCGTATATGTATAATATATCAAAAGTATGAATGGCAACCTGCTTCAAATTTGTGCTAATGGAAACCTTCACCAATATATTCCATAGGAATTCTCTTATTCACTTTGTTTAAATCTGGTAAACATAGACTTCCAATAGTATTATGTACTCCGGCTATGATTTGAAATATTTACAACCTGCTCGTTCTCAAGCCTCTATTAAACATCCTCGATGTCAGCTTATCCCAGTACATCAGGTGATTGTTCCACATTGGTGTACTTGATTCACAAAATGCAGTCCTGGACGTTTTACAACCTTCATTCAACAAAATGTCGTCTTGTATTACTCGAAGTAGTAAAAGAAGAGATATCAGAATGGAGTGGTTTGTTCTTCAGGTCAGATAGAACTGTGTCACACGATCTATTGTTAGTTAATCTTTTATTTGCAGATCTTGGACGAAGAGAGCAAATATCACGCAATTAACTCCTTATTTTGATATGAAAATTGTTCAGAATGTAGCTTTTACTATGATATGATTTTGTATGAGATTTTATTGGCAGTTTATTTTCACAGATTAATATAAGTTAGAGAACCATTGAAAACCAGCACTCGAGTACTGGACAGCTGTTTCATTAGCCTAGTTTGGGAATAACCGGCTGTACGCAGCCGTCATGGTTCGAACCCAGGACTTCCTGATTACAAGGTACACTAGCTCGGACACCGTTCAGCCACTGAGACAAACTCATGAGTTTTCACTTCTAATAATTTGCGATCTAGCATGACTACCAACCAATGTCATCCGTGGGATATCCATCTTTAGACCTGATTGAAACTCCAAGTCTATTACTGATTTCATGAATATTGTCTTCAGTGTTAGATTTGTTGCCTGTTTACACAAAATAGTCCATTGTGGAGCTGTCGATAATTTTTGCAACACCATTATTCAACTACATTAGAGCTCAGAAACACCTACTGGGTTGTTTAAATGAAGGTGTTATTAGAACTATCAACACTTCTCCATTGGACAGTCTTATGAAAGAAGACCACAAAGCTACTACTGAAGATTCTTCTTCTATTATCTACCAAGTATCAAATAGACTACAAAACGCCTCTAGAAACCGAACACCCCAGATAGCATAGGCTATCGCACTTCGCCCAAAACCACCAGAGGTCTGTGCGCAAAAGAAGCAGTTCCAGCCACCACTACTACTACTACTCTGACCTGCAGTCGAGACTGTAAATTCATGAATTCTACGTTATTTCCCCCTAATTTATATGATATTCAGTCTAGTGTCATATTGATACGCACTATATCTTAGTCACGGATGCTTTTCAATTGTAATTCTGTCGATACGCTAGCGATTTAGTGTGATCTGAAACATTTGTATTGTCACCAACAATATTTTTGTAGTTGTTACTGTCATATAAATGGAAAGCTTGATGACGAATTTCAAATTACCCGTGTGCATTCCTCGGAAAAGACGCAAGAAAATGATATGAGGGACTATTCTTTACTACAGATAGAACAGATCCGTGTCACTTGATAAACTACAGGTTACTATACTTCTTGAAGTAAATGACGCTGTGATTCTCGTATATTGTGTAAATTATTTGTGCAGAATGAAGGTATCGGTGTTGGTGAACATTGAATTGTTTGTTAATTTGAAGTGATGTCTATTTGGCAGGAGACAAGAAGACTATCGTTGCTTAATCGTAAACTGATTGGTAGAGGATTAGAGAAATACGATCAGAAGTATTATTGTACATTGTATTGACGTTAATATACAGCCTCTTCACTTAGTAACTTGTAAATCTGTTTCGCTACTGGTGAAAGAATGGATAACTTCTGTAATACTACGTCGGTTAGCATGCATAGTATTCTGCATATTAGGCGTGGTCTTACCGGACCGGCGATAAGTTTGTGATCTTTGAGGTCTGGACAGCTGACAGAAGTTGTTATTATTGTTGGGATGCACGAATGAAGTTCAAGGACAGTGAAATCCTCTTAGATTTTTCGGTCAATCTGTACTTCACATTAAATAATATGTTTGTACCTCAATGCTGAGTGTCCATTGATATGTCGAATGCTAATCAGAACTCTGCGAAGACGTCTAAAGTTAAGCCTCCAGACATCTCGGTTGAAACCTATTTTGAATAGTGGATTCCACTGCTAGTCAAAATCAACCAAGACAACACCGTGATTTCAACTAGAACGCGATTAACCGATTACAGCGTATGGCGCATTGATAGTATCTGAGTGAAACACGCAACAACAAGAAGAGGAGCAAAGTTTCACCACAATATCTGAACTCGAAATAATTATATGCATTATTCAAGTGTTGATTTGTAGGGATTTGACTGAATTGGTTACAGGCATTTCGTCATAAGCTCACATCAGATAGCGAACCATCGGAAAACCAGCACACGTGTACTGGACAGTCAGCTGTTTCATCAACCTAGTTTGAGAATCCTCATCGATGCGGAATCACCCCACTTCTACTGTTCCGACCTAGAACCTTCACGTTACACATCAAGTCAGCTCGTAGACCAGTCAGCCACTGAAACCTGACTCACTAACCGGTTCATGAATCCCTTGTCCACTCTAATGCACAATGAAATTACGTCGAAGAAAACATATAGTTGACTTCTCCACAGAAAGTCAACTTATCATGAACGCAATTGCTCACTGATCTAAGTAGATCTGAAACGAGTTATTACGAGTAAAACTCAAGTGCTTCAGTTTGAACACGAAAAAATTCATCAACGAAATGAAGTCAATGTGTCATTGTCACAAATCGAGGAATGATCCTCAGTGAAAATTCATACTTTATAACCATAACAAAAGACGATTTAAGAAGGTAACCTCTGCGGCACTTATCAAACAGTAATAGGTTATGTGAGAAATACAAAATTAACTTGAGATGAGTCTGAGTATTTTCGTGTTACTCGCGCTGAGGTGATAAGCAAATCAACTTCTAGGTCTGTTGTCATGCGAACTCATCCGTAGTTGAGCTAGACATTGATTTAGCTGATATCAGGTTAATTCAGTCTGACTGATTTATTTTAGGCGCCGATTTATTTCGATGCTGTGGAAAGTGTACTGTAGACCACTGAGTTATTCCATGTTTTGTGAACTGGCGGTAGAGGAATGTATGTAGTTGGCAACTTGTTCAGAAATCCTTCATGGACCATCTACTTATAACATTTCTCCCTATTTAAACTTTTCAACTAACGTCGTAATTCAAGTATCGGTTTGTAGGCATTTGGTTGATTGATTGATTGATTGACTGATTGCCCACAGGATTTCATCGTGAGCTGACATCGGCCAGAAAACCATTCCGACAGCTGCAGGTAACTCTGGACAGCTGTTCAGTTCTAAACACCAATACTTGAATATCAATGAGATGCTCATTAGCGACTGGCCCTATACAGGTAGGTAGTTTTCTGGTGTTCTAGTGGGAAGTCGTGACCAGTAGGGTGAAGCAGGTCAGGTGTGAGGAGAAATACGTGATGACAACATTGACTAGTAGTTGAGCTATTTTGT